GAAATTGAGATTTATACATCACCTGAAAGCTGAATAAATAAGTTTTCCATTGATGTATGGTTTGTTAGGACAATATTTGACCGAGATACAGCTAGTTGAAAAGCTGGAATCTGAGGGTGCAAAAAAAACATTTATTGAGAAAATCGCCTTTAAAGTTCTTAGCAATGCATATTACTAATCAAAAATTAAGTTTTAATATATTTAAAGTAGGAAATTTACAAAATATCTTCATGGAACATGATCTTTACTTAATATCCTGATTTTTGGCATAAAACAAAAATCAATAATTTTGACCAATACAATGTAATTTTGGCTATTGCTACAAATATACCCCAGCGACTTAAGACTGGTTTTGTGGTCCAGGGTCACATATAATTAAGGAAATTAGCACCAGGTGCTCGATTAAAACCAATAAATTGGAGGTATCTGTAAGTGTTCTCTAATTTTGATCAGAGTTCTTTTTCAAATATCTAATTAAAAATTTTTTCTACTGTGTTTCAGAATACAAATAATTTCTAAAATATGTTTAAAACTGCCCTTCTACCCCTGTTAGGATAACTTCACATAGGACTAAGCAGTGACCTTGAAATTTAGGACATTGTTGTTCTCTAATTTTGATCTCCAGTGTATGTCTTGCAGTTCAATGTTATATCACAACTTCTGACATTTTATCTCACAATTGAGACATTGTTTCTCATAACTGCAACTTTATATCTCACAATGTGACTTTATATTTCATAACAGCGTAACACTTTAAAATAAATTGGTTAACATTAGATAATTATTTACATAATTATTAGAACATTATTTAACATGAACTAATGAAAAATACTTCTAAAGCATTTATTAATCTTAATGATAATTTTGATATTTACAAATACATCAAAAGTTGTATGTTAATATTATTAAATGGAACTGCTAACATGAACTAGCAATGAACCGTTGTATTTTTATTAACTAGCATTAGCAAAGTTTAATAAATGCATTAACATTATGTTAATACATTAACTTACATTATACTACGGGGCTGTCGAATGCTTGAATCGGATTGGCTGATGAACGTTCTAAGGTCTACAATTATTTTCGGATAAACACGGCTAATGTAGTTCCAGGCAGGTCTTGACTGCATTACATGTCTCTATCACTTTCCCAGTGACTGCAGTTATTTCAAACGTCCTTACAGCCTACAACAGCAAAAGAACCAAAACCCACAAAGACTCTGACTAAGCAAATAAATATAGTAAACAACAAGATAAAAAACGCAAATTCTTTCCATGTTTTTGCCACAAAATTATGTACGGAAAGCATACTCTCTTTCACCCGCTCTTTCTCCGTTGCAAACGCACACATACAGTATGGACACACACGGTAACATACACGCACACAGAAACGTGTTGTCAGCACTGCTCTGACGATTTTATCAATAAAATAGTTTAGCAACTTAAAAGCTACTTGTCATTTCTCACTAGCGAGGTAATACCAGCACTGTTCATTAAGCAGATGAACTTACAGTTTCGCTATTAGTAGAGCAGTGGTGCCGAACTCTGTTGAGTTCTCTCATAACTGCATTAATAACTGCATTGGTCTGCTATCAACGGCTCAAGCCTCTGTTACAGGTCTAAAATTATGTTTTGGAATTTGCAATGGAGGCATGGGATGAGATGTGTAAGAAATTAATCCTACACACAAGAGTGTTTAAAGGACAAAATCCTGATGAATGTCTTAAAATAATACATCATCTGAACAATGTCGAAAGGTGTGGTAACTGTAGTATAAATGGAATAATTGACTCTGGTCCATTGAATTATTAGAAAATAATGCACACCCGAGGTGGTGATGCGGCCACGATGCGAAGTGTTTTTTATTACAAATCTCACAACTGTATTTCTTGTAATTGTGACTTCATATTTCACAATTGCAACTTTGCTTCTCGTAATTGTGATTTTATTTCTCACAACGTGGTTTTATGCCTCGCGATGAACTAGATTTTCTATCAGGGGTGAGATACCTGGAGTAATCTCAGCTTAGAAGAGCAGCCAACTATGCACTTACAGATATGTGCAAAACCCTGACATAAACACACATACTTGTTTTTCAGTATTCTGCCCATGTTGTGATCTTGTGCATGTCTTCATCTCTCACCACAATACATTGTCAGCTAAAAAGAATGTATATATTTGGCATTCGCCAAAATGATGACAGCCCATCAGCAAAGACAGACTCTTGTCTTCCTTCCTGTTGTACACCACGCTGATCTATTACTTTAAAGAAAAGTTTTTTTTCACTTACTGCTTTGTACGTGCACTGTACTGGTGCCGTTCTCCTTCCCCAGAATATTCTCTGCCACACATGTGTAATTCCCAGAATCCTCCAGCTTTGCACTGCTGATATGAACTTTGGAAGTTTTCCTTCAAGAAGAAGACAGACAGAAATAGGAGAAAGAGTCAAGGATTCTGCTATTAAAAATGGAAGAGGGAGAAACTCTCCAGAGAAAACCTCTGTATGAATTAGAGAGCAGTTCAAAGTCTATAAACCGAGATAGAACAGACATATGACACTCTGAGAATCCCAGAGTTCTGGTTTGTAATAAGTGAGCTTTACATTGCTGTAGCCTTCCACAAATGGTTCTTTTTGGTGAAGAACATGACCAATGAATCACTGAATTTGGACAAAAATCTCCTTTACCCTTAGATAATTTCTTTATATTGTCTTTTCTGTAGAAGATCGTTTTCAAAGCAATTTACTCACATTAATATTGTTCCAAACATATTTTTATGGAACTCAAAAAGTAGAAAGAATCTTCACACAAATCTTTCTATATGACAGCTCATAGTAACCATGTCTGTCAAACTCAAAAAAAAAAAAAAAGACATAAATGTACCATAAAATATCATACAAGTATACATATTAATTGTGTGATATATTTCATGTCTTCTGAAGTCATATGAAAGCTTTGTGTGAGGAACAGACCAAAATTCAAGTCACTATTTATAACAAATCTTTCCCAAATGCAGGATTGATTCAAGCTTTGATACATGTGTTACTTACCTAACTATCTTTGAAAGAGTGGCATGAAGACTAACATTATAGCATATTGTAACAACATAAACTTAAAATGCCCCTATTATGGGTAATGAAAGGTTCACATTTTGGTTTTGGGAGTCCCCAAAACAGGTTGACATGCATGCAAGGTCAAAAAACACTTTCATTGTCTTATAATATGCATTTATTTTTACCTTACTTGCTCAACGACTCCCAAACAATTCGCTCAACGATACATTTTTCCAAACCCCTCCTTTGCGTGACGCTAATCTGCGGTGATTGGTCCGATTGGTCTCATTTTCATTTCATCATGCCTGTAATGCCTGATAAAGCAGCCTTTGCAAGCGGGCAGTGCTGCTTTGTGTACAGCGTTACCGTGGAAACAGCTATTTTTACCACTCCAAAAGTGGCACCTAGTGGCAAAGAATGAATTTGCATTTTCATTCAAACCAACGCGAAAAGACCAACAAGTGGGCGGGCAATATGCTAATGTTTCATGTTGACGTCAACATGAAACGGCTTGGGATTTGTTTTAAAAACGACTCGTTTCAATGATTCAGAGTCAACTCTTTCTTTTGAGAGACAATAACTTTATACACGGTGCACTTTCAGATTTAAAACTTTGCAGGATGTTTTCATTCACTTAGAGCTGATACACACTGCATGAAAGGTAATTTTCAAAAATCCATAATAGGGGCACTTTAAGTAATGAAATAATAATAATAATCTTTTGAGAATTTTTGCACTCACAGGTTGGTAAACCAGCTTTCCCATCAGATGAGGGAGACCATCTTAAACCATCTGAGATCATTTTAAACTAATACTGTTTTCAGCAGAGTTTTCATTTTTGGTGACCTATTTCTTTAATTGTGTCATTAACAATATAATAGACATGCATGCTGAAACACTTCACTTTAATTACAAGGGCACAGTCCGTCTTTAGCACACTGCCCAAAGTATGAAGCTCTTGACTTATGTGAAGGTCACGATCCACTCTTCGAATGTTTAATAAACGTCGAGACCTGGAGGTTGGGTTCTGCTGGTGTGTGCTAGTGGACATGCTGACTCACTTGCCGTTCCTGGAAATTTTGATCTCTTTGCTCTTCTTCAGTTCAGCGCCATCTTTGTACCACTTGTACTGCGGGGTGGGGTTGCCAGAGGCCTCACACCTCACAATCAGCCTGCTTCCTTCGTCCACCAACACAGGGTTTTTCATGCGCTTCAGTGAGGGAGGAGCAGCTGAACAACAGAAAGAAAGAAAGAACGAATATTGTGTTACAATACTTATTTTTAACACCAACATGTAGTAGGGTTGATGCAGTGATGGAGAAAAGAAGGGAGGGACGCAGAGAGAGAAAAATCCAGAAAAGTCTCTTAGCTGGCCAGATGATGTCACCAGAGACACTGGCAGTGTGAAGCAGTTCTCTCTTCCCTTCAGTCCAGCGCTGAGCTCTCTCTGCTCTCAGGGATCAATGCAGTACATTTACAACACTAAAAGACCTGCATTTTGTGCTGCTCTTCACTTTCATGGACTTGACAACACATGTGAACATGCTAAAATAACAACAGGATTCACAGGCAGTGTCGGGAGTAACTAACTACACTAGCGACACTACTAACTTAAAGCGATAGTTCACCCAAAAATGAAAATTCTGTCATCATTTACTCACCCTCCACTTGTTTCAAACCTGTATGAGCTTCTTTCTTCTGCTGAATACAAAAGAAGATATTTTGAGGAATGTTGGTAACTAAACAGTTGACGGTAACCATTAACTTCCATGGTATGGAAAACAATATTAAAGAAGTCAGTGGCTACCATCAACTGTTTGGTTATCAAAATTCTTTAAAATATGTTCTTTTCAGAATTTTCATTTTGAGGTGAACTATGCCTTTAACTTACATTGTTTTCAAAACGTTGCTGGAAAAAAAGCTAACTTGTTATTGGAAAAGCTACATAGTAGCAATGCTGTTCAACAAAGTGCTACACCTATATTTATAAAAGTCATGTTGTATTGTGCACAAGCTGAGGAAATAATCAAATGTGCTCTCCTTAAAGGGGTCATCGGATGCCCATTTTCCACAAGTTGATATGATCCTTTTAGGGATTTAAGAAAAAAAAACACAGGGTGGATTTTTATCATTATAGGATGGATGTGTACACACACTTCACAACACACATTTATGTTCAAACAACTTGTAAAGTGAATTTTGCATCCGATGACCCCTTTAATGGTCCTTTCTCATGTGTAGCATTCGAAAGTCTGATTCATTTTAAGTAAATCGGTTCATACTATGCAGTCCTCTCAGTTGAAGCATTTATATGTCTGATTCATTCAAGTAAATCAGTTTGTGCTAAACGTCTCTCTCACTGACATAAAGTTTATGAATGTCTGATTCATTTTAGTGAACTGGTTCATTCTAAGTGGTTCTCTCTGTCAAAGTGTTGATATGCAATACCGTAATAGAATGTCCGATTCATTATTCTGAATTGGTTTGTGTTTTAAAAAATGATTTACACAAAAAGCAGAATATTGATGTCCATTACTATGTTTTCAACTCATATAAATTAGTGCATATTCTAGTTTATAGTTGTTTATTTGATTGGTCAAGTATTGTTTTGTGCCAAAAATACTGCTCTAATAAAAAAAACAATTAGTTATAAATTTAAAAAGATGCTGATCCCTTTACTAGCTTAAGCTAACTACTTTGGGTAACACTTTATTTCGATAGTCCACTTTAGACATTCTATTAACAGTAAGTAACTTTGCAACTACATGTCAACTAGCAGTTAGTAGAGTATTAGTAGACTGTCTGCTTAATATCTTCTAACACCTTTTTTTGTCAACTTATTCTACTAACCCTAAACCTACCTTAACAGTCTACTCTGAGAGTTAGTAGACATGTAGTTGCAAATTAATGAGAATTAGTTGACATGTAGTTGACATGTAGTTACAAAGTTACTTATAGTTAATAGAATGTCTAAAGTGGACTATCGAAATAAAGTGTAACCCTACTTTGTTTCGAATACACAAAAACAGTATTTGTCTCATTATTCAGTTCTTTTCTTGCTTATAAGAAGGAAACCCTAGAAATTATGATTGCTATCATTCATGATTTGGTGACTTCATCTCATATAATTTATGAATTAGCTGAACTGACAATAAAGAACAAAATCCATCCAATCTGAGACAATGACCTTAAAGAAAGTTGTTTTGAAAAAGCATGTCGTCAAAACACCAACGTTCGAGAAGAAACCAGAGAGGCTTGTCTTTGACACATTTTGAAATTATGTAAGAACAGTAACTAATGACAGCTCCTTCATAAATCCTAAAGAGACACTCAATCTCGACAACAGTCAAAACACCAACAAAATGGAGGACAACAGCGCTGAAAGGAGGTGAAGTTGCTACATGTGGGCCACCACATGCCCAGACGCTGCCATGCATAGTCACTCAGGAAATGCATTATGGGATTAATGCAGACTCAGACAGCAATAACAAGGCTTCAAAGAGTTACGGTTCCACAACCAAAGGGCAGAACTGGGCGATGCTGTTTGGCCGTACCCTACTGTCCAGGATGAGAGAAGGCTGTATGCCGCCCCAAGGCTGGAGCAGGAGTCGGTAGCTCTTTGGGCCTTCCCAAAGCGAATCCATGTTGGCAATAACACTTTTACAATGGCTGCCTCTTCATTTCTTGACAACGCACATGATCAATACCCAATTAAAAGTTATCAGCTATTATTGCAAAGGATGGAAAGCATCAAAAAATAAACAGATGAGAACACAAGCATTAACATCAATTAGAATCTTGACAGAGGTTGCTAAAATAATCAGCAGTCATCCTAATTTTGGAACTACTGTCCCACTTCCCTGTCCCAGTAAAAGCAGCTGTTTTATCCGAATGTCTGCTTTCATGGCTGAATGATGCAGTCTGTTCTGATGTTGCGTAGCTCAAAGTAACATGACAGTCTCTGGCACAATGTTTGGATTGTACTGTCTGTCGAATAACATCTCAGGTTTCCCATGACAGCCTCCAGTGATGCGCATTCTCTCCGAAAAACCGCCAAGTGTCCGACGTAGTTCTGCTTCGCACCATTTAATGCTCACTGCTGTCTTTACCCCTCGGAGGCCATTAGACTGATGGGATACAGTGCGCCAGAAACGCGATTCTTTATACAAATATTTAAAGACACTGTAATCTCCCTGTATATTTGTGCTGAATGAAACCGTACTGATTTATCGCCTGAAAACCTCCTGAATTCAATAAGCAGTTTTCTTTTAATTAAACAGAAAAGTTAAAAATGTTTAATAAAGAAACCAACATCAACACTGACTGAGAAAAAAAAAGTCGTTAGAATTTGATTTCATGATACCCAACAGAAAGTCACATGACAAACAAACTGAAAAGTTTGTTCTCTGAGCCTTTATGAGAACCAAACCGATTTTATCATCTGTCTAGAAGCTGGATGAGTAAGCAAAGGCCTTTTTATTTTGTCCACAATGTTAAATTGTAGCTTTTTCTCACCCTAAACTCAGGGCACCTGCATCATTATTACTCAGCATGCCTTTTGGAGTGACTGTGTTGTTCAACACAGCTTATGATGAATTCAAGCCGTGCAAGTGTGTGTTTCGCATTACAGGCTGCATATCCGTTATTGCGACTTTATTGAAGAAAGTGTTAGTGACAGATGCATATATTGCGCATAATGGCTAAGTAGGGTGCATTGGGGCTGAATCGGGGGTCGAAAAGGTCGCGGTTAAGCACATGGCGTGTATGTGAGGGTTCTGTGGAGAATGACTGACATGAGGCATCTTGTTCCGAGTTGCTTTTGTACATGCAGGGTGATACTTGCCCGTGTTCAGATAAGAAGGGTGGGGTGTCTGATTTGTACGCTTCATGTTTTCCCGACTCCAGAGTAATATTCTGAGCTTTATACAGTCATACTCCATGACAGAGTCATTGTAGAATATTCAAACTCATAAAGAAGATCAAACAGAAGTATCTGGTTTATTAAACTAGGCGCTGAAAACTGTCAGATCACACTTAAATGGAAAGTCATAACTAATACCACATGTGCGTGATATATCAAGCATTATCATGTCTCAATTTCAGGAAGAATAAGCACAACACAGACTGAATAATAACCAGCAGAGATATAAAACCATTATTCTTAGAGTTTATTGCTCATTTAACAGCAATGCGGCTTCTGCGACTGTGGCAGGAACGTTTGTTTGCGCTTCCTGAGCATGTAGATTGTTTCTCCATACCACCCCGCAGGTAGAGTATTTCATCAGAGTTTTAACACAACTGTCACAGTTTTACGAGACGCATGACACTGTCTCTGTGGCCCTGCCTGTAATTCAGAAACGTTTTGGAAATGCATAACCTGAGGGACAGTGCCAAAGCTCAGTTTAAGCTGACGATATCAGTCTGTGGTTAGTAGAAAGGGAAGGATTATGGAAAAATTTATAAACCGCACAATCTTTATCAAGCCATGGCACAAATCGCAGTTCATTTGCCTTCCCGCTGTTTCCAAGGAACCGAGCGTTTATTTTCACTTTCGTGTTATGACACATATCTTGTTTGAATACATAGTTTCAGTATTCCAAGAAAATTCCTCACGCAATAGCTGTCAGAGTAAGGTGCAGCATTGTGCTGAAGGTTTATGTTTTACACACGGGAGTGTGGCATGTGTGTGTTCTTGAAGAATAGATCTCATTTTGTGTCTCTGGTTGCTGTGTTCCTGTTACTGTGTTTTGAATTAAATTCATACACAATTCACTGGATTTTTGACAGTTTTAAGCATTATTTTATCAGTATTTTGATTATCCAGCTAGGCCTGATAAAAAAAGAAAAGAAAATCAACACAATCAGGGGCGGATTTAGTGATTTGGGGGCCCCAGGCAAAATATATGAATGGGGCCCTATGTATTTGCACACATTTACAAATTTAGCCTTGAGGTTCCTTTTTTTGTTGTGGTGCTTGCTGCTGCATAATGGTGCCCCAATGTTTCTACACTTTTCATGTACATGTTATAATGGCTTTCTTTCATGTTGTAGACCACGAAATAGCAATTGATTTACAGTTTTCACAAAAACGAAATAAATTATAAAATGTTAAACCTCACAATTGAGCCTTTAAAAATTTTTTAAGAAAAGAGATGAGTCGGAAGTATAAATTATGATATTAATTTTAAACGGGGTTATGTGGGTGGATTTTCGCATTGGTCTGAACAAAA